GACGGCTAGTAGCAGATGCTGGTTGCGCCGAGTCTAGGCTCGTTGCATGGAGGGCGCGTCGATTTATTGAGGGGCCTTACCTGGCCCTCAGGTAGATCGGCAATAGGTGGGTGTGCATTTCGCGCCGCTAATAACATATTTGATATCCTGTAAAGCGAGTCAATCAGCGATCCTTTACAACAAATTTAATATTTCTGAAAATATTGGTTATAAAATTTTTGTGCCCCAAACAAGATGGTCCAAAACATGGCTCAGATCGCCCACACGGAGTCTTAACCAACCATTAGAAGGAGCTTCAGGCCGCCCCAACCTGGCCGCCCGCCCGCCCAGATCGTGAGGGACTTCGTGTGTGCGCTTTGCCCACTATTATTTGCACAGACCCAGAAATTTTAAGTACTCTCGCTCATCGCCACCCCTTCTTTTGAAAAGTTTGGGAAACGGACCTGTATGTAAGTTACGATCATTATAACTACGTTGAAATGTTATATATACATACATAATTTATATGTCTTTAGCACTGAATTCAAAGTTAAACATAATTTTTATTTTTATTTTTTATATATAGATACTTATTTTCTAGAATATTGCATAAAACAAGTTTTGTAAGTACCATACCTATACACATACACTTGGTACAATGATGATACTTGCTAATTAGGGATCATATAATAATATATTACATTCATGCACATAGATAGATTCAGCGAGTATAGACTTATTTTGCACAAAAAACAAAACAACAGTTGTATAAGTTGTTTACTGTATTACAATGCGCAGTAGAGTTATGACCATTTACCAAGAAACTTTATCATTTTGTTGTTTAGTGGGCTGCGCCAATATTTTTCATGTACAATACAATGATTTGATGTTGGCTTTTGACAGCAGCAAAGCGTTGGTCACGAGTTCTTAAGCTTAAGTTTTAGAGTTGTAAACTTTTGAATGCTGAATACTAAAATTGCAGCAATATCGTTACAGTCGATCCGATCCGAGCGATAATATCTGGTTTTTGGGAGAACTGATTTAGTTTCTAAAACCAGTGGTGTGCCCAACCAGGAGTGTAGTTCAGCCAACACATTACATATTCGCATTCCACAAACATGATGACCGAAGTTGGTTCACTAGTATTTTCTCAAGCGAACGGACAAGGATCTCATCACAATCCTTGAACGGTGAAGCGAGAAAAACATTTGGTTGTGATGATATTCTGCTGAGGATTCTGTATGGAAGTATTCTTTAAAAAAAGATTTTTGTGTCGATAGATAGTCTTTGGAACGGCAAGCTGATTAGAAATATTTTCCAGTATCACTATTTCAGCATTAAATGGTTTAATATTCCTTACACCATTTTTCTTGACTACCAACATTTGTGATTTTAGTTTTATTAAATTAGGTTGTAAATTGTTTACAGCCCTTTTGAGTGACTAATACTATAAAAGACTGCATGGTCGGATATTGATGGACCGATGTTTTAGAAGAATTGATTCGTTTGTAATTTGGTCCAACCAATCCTTGTTGTGGAATTGCTTGTGCCAACCTTATTACATCAATAAGGTGGCTTTTTATACTTATATTTGCCCTTTAATTGACCTGTCGCATAAGATCACCGTTTCATTCATTCAGATATTTTTAACAAATATTATACCTTTTCTGTGCCAGGTTCTTATATAGCCTAGTTTAATATGCTTGTTGAACCTAATATGTGTTTCCTTTTAGAATTTTTTCACTATTTTGTGGTCTTGAGAATGCATTATATTCTGACCAGGCATCAGTGCAACATCTTTCCAAAATGGGTTTTTGATAGAGTTTATTGTTTCGGTAATGTGGTGGTTGGCAACCTGGTTTCAAAAATAGTCAGGCATTTTGGCTTTTTTAACCTGACGAATGTGGAGTATTGAATATATGTATATATATGTTATTATATATATATGCTAACGGAATTTCGGTTTCTGCCGCAGCATCACATCCCGGTTTTCTGCTCTCGGCGGCACCGTCCCTAGCATCCCCGGGGATTGTCGAGGGCGCTCACCCCGCATGGCAGTGGCCAAGATGCACGTGCGTGGCCACGAGCGTGTCCGAAGCTCGACGCCTGCGTCACGGTTGAATTCGACGTGCGTCACGTCCGAAGCCGGACGTGCGCTCACGTCGAAGTCCGACTGTGCTGTCACTTGTCCGAAAGCCCGACGGTTTGCTTGTCACGGGTGAAGCTTGACCACGTTGTCACGATCAAAGCGGCGTGCAAGATCACGTCTAAAGTCAGCGTGCGGTGTCACGTCTGAAGCTGACTGTTACGTTGACATGGCTTGAAGCCAGACGTGCGTGTCACAGTGTGTGCCCGTGGTGAGACTGCTGCCCTGCGTCTGAGCCGGGGGATTGGGTATATAAATACCTTGGCTCCCAGGAACCACCTGCAGTTTTGAGGAGATAGATGCTCAGTTTTCAGTTCGAAGAGGCATAGGTGTGAGTTCAGTTCAAGTTCCACGGCAGTGGCTGCTCTAGCTGTAAACCCGGCAGACATCACCAGGAGCGAATCGAATCGGCAGCAGGAAGCACACGCAGATATACAGGCACGAAGCCAATCCAGCTGATCTCTGCACGCGACTTCGGCCGCTCTCTACAGGAGGATTCGTTTTTGGTTAAGGTCCTTGCGCCTCGTTGTAGTCTTGTTAGCCTATTACTCGGGCCTTACGCTGTCCGTAGGAATATTGTACCGTTTTTGATTGCTCCACTCTTGGTCGGTTGACCATGAGCGGATAAAATGTCCCCGGGACCATATTCGGCGTTAAACACTTTCATTTCTTGAGTTGTAACGTGTGTTAATGTTCGTGTGCGAGTGGTTACAAATCCAGTGGTCGAACAGTGGGAGAGTCCCACGTAACTGGGAAACGTGTACCATATCATATATATATACTCGCGTTCGTTATTTTGGTGGAGAGATTTGCGGCACACTGTTGACGGTGCGGGATATTCCTTCTCGGGCGTGGTAGGCCTATGTTCGGTCTGTTTAATTGCGGTAGGCTGTGACTACTTACTACGAGTTGTATATTATAAACCATGCGCGAAGCAGGATCTAGTAAGTTTCCGTAAAATATAAGCACAAAATAATGTCATGCTAACGCAAGGTCGAAAAAGGGGAAATTCCCCTTAATAAATGAAAAGATAAAAAAAGAATGATCAAATAAGATAAAAGGGTGATTTCCTTTTATCTGATGGAACTCATTGTATGAAACTATATGCACTATTGGTACTATGCTAATCCAATAAGCGTTGTAGCGCCGTGGGTGGTCGTCGTAAGAAAACACAATTCCGTTACTCGCCCGGGTGAAATGTTCAAAATTAAAGATAACTATAAATTGATATTTAAATTTGTTACTCGTATTTTTATACGCGGTGAAAAGACACAGGAGCGCGCGGGAAGTGATGGGCACGCATGATCGTTAGGAACCGTGACTTTAAGCTAGATAATTCTGGAAGAGTAGGTTTATCGCTAATAGCTGCTGCCACATCTTGTACCTGCGTTCTTGTTAGAAAGGGAATCACGACGGTTAAACGGCGATGACAGCCGATAGTAGAGTTGTGTTAAGCTTTCCAGGTGGATGCTAGTGATTGCAGTGCGGATATGTGCTAGAATCATCTTGAATTCTCCTGTTTACGGTTTTCGTGTGAGTGGTGTGGGCTCATGTAGGTTCTTATGGTCCCCACTGTATAG